AGTAGCGGAAGCGCAGGTCGACGCTAGGCGCGGTGTGCGCAAGCAGCTCGATCTCGACGCGGATGTCGGCTTCGAACTTGCCGCTCAGCTTCCACAGCCCGTTGAGATAGGCCGCCACGCTGGTCGAATAATGCTCAGCCGGGATGCTGGGGCTCAGGTAGCCGCTGATGAGCTGCGCGCGCACAACGGCGAAGCGCCGCGCCTCGGCCGTCGCCGCCTCGTCGTCGCCGTCGCACGCCAGCAGCCGCCGGCTCTCGGCCGTGCCCGTGACAAAGTCGACGGCCGACCGGTGGATGAAGGAGACCATATCGATCGGCGGGTCGTCGCCGTACACCCCGACCTCGACGAGGCCGGCGCACCGCGCGTCGATACGGCGGCCGAGCGCCTGCAGCCGTTGGGCGAGCGCGTCGGCCGAGAGGAGGCAGCTGTCGCCGTGGTGCAGCACGTCGTCATCGACCAGGTCCGCATCGGTGGCGAGCAGCATGGTGACGAGGCGGATGCCGGCGAGGCCTTCTCCGGGGCCGAAGACGAGCGAGTGCGCGGCCAGGATCAGGTTCAGGTTAGAGGGCGGCGTCGCGCTGGTATATGTCCTTGTCGTCGCCCAGCCGGTCCCACATGACCGTGTACAGGTCCGAGAGGTCCTTGGGCAGCGTCTTGAGCCGCCGCAGCAGCTCGTCAAAATCGCCGCCCTTAGCCAGCCCGCTCTGCAGGTTGCGCAGCGCCAGCGCCACCCACAAGAACACGCCCTCTGCCATGGTGCACACCAGCTCGAGGCGCTGCTCCTTGCCGGGCCGCACGTAGCTGTCTCACAGCGTCTTGGCGTGGCTGTCAGCCGCAGACTGCTCGATGTCGTAAAAGGTCAGATCCTGGAACCGGAACATGGGGATCCACGATCTGGTTGCGCCGCTCGTTCATGGTCGCGTACTTGAGGCTCTTGAGCAGTCGCTCGTGCCTGGCTTCGTCGACTGCACTGCACGCATGTCTGACGCCGAGACATCGTCGTGCGCTTTCTTAGTGTCTCGCGAGAGCTGGACCACTTTGGCCTCTATTTCGGCCGCCCTGGCTGTGACGTATGCTTTGACTGCGTCCGACTTCCGGCTCAGCAGCGCGGTGGTGCGACTCTCGCCCTCGCCAAGCGCGCGGATGAGGCCGCGCAAGGTGGCGTCGAGGCTGTTAAAGCTGGCTTGCTGGCTGATTTGGATGGCATCGGTTCGGCTGCTGTAATCAACTCAACGCAGCCAGAGAGCGCACCGGTCTAGCTAACCGTTTCGTGTGTGTGGAATGCAGGGCGCAGTTGTGAGGCAGTTGGATCGGTGCCTACAAAAAGGGGCAGGGCGCATGTGGATTTTTTTAGAACTAGTACCAAAGGTAGTCTCCGCCGTCTTCGCCGGCTAACCCGTTGCAGCAGCTTGTAAAATGAACCGTTGAGCGCCGCACTTTTGGTCCGCGGCGTAGGAATGGGCGGAGAAACCTAAAAGATGACGTTTGGCCGGGAAGAGACATGATTTGGAAGCGGGAAGAGGCACGTGTCGTTGATTATAGCGAAGTCAGCCAGCCAGTGATGTTCCGTGCCTCTGTGTGACGTCAGGCCGGCCGGCATTATGGCTAAATCTCGGCATATCCACTAGAGCAAGGCACGTGTTTCAAGTGCCCTGCGTCGGCCGTCTTTGTCGGAGGGGCACTTGCTCCATGCCGCTTTCCCGCGTCCTGCTCGTATACTAGTGCAGTAGGCGTATACTAGTGCAGTAAGCATATACTAGTGCAGTAGGTAAGCATGCGATGTTGCTGAGTGATGCTGTCTAGAAATTCATCACAGTTTTATTCCCCCGCGTATCGGGTTTTGCTCCGCCCACCCCACCCCCCCAAGCGGTTGGCAGAATAAACCGAACTCACTACTTTACAGTACATCTCTTCAGGCCAGGTTTGTATACAAATCTAGGTACTACTATGTACTGCAACCCTACCACCCTCTCTCGCCCTCTAACACATCTTGCATCCGCCTTACCATGGAATCTATATACCGAATGCCATAGAATGTTAAAAAAATGATAGTGCCTGTTAGTGTGCAGCCACCTGCACAGACCTTGCCAACCGCTTGCCCCCGTAGAAGGGCGTCCTCGGAAGTACTCGGAAGTACTCGGAAGCGCGTATGCCTAAGGGCGTGCTCGTACTCGCGCCTCACAAGGCTAGCTTCAAAACGTTCATCCTCCTTACCCAAGCCAAGGCTCCAAGTTAGCGTCCGTGTGGAGGACGCTGACGAAACCCCCCTCCCCTCAAAATAATCATCGCAGCCATAACATGCCGTTTCAGCCTCAATCAGGCACGGGAGGCTCAGCCCGGTGCATTCTAGGCCATTCTCGACATCACACATCGGGGACTTGTTGCGGCGGCAGAGGAAAATCACCGACTTGGTGTTGGGAAATCGACGGCGTTGGTCGAAACACCTCTGTTGGCTGACATGGCCCTGAGGCCTAGGAGGCGGCGGGTACGAGCAAGTCCAAGTTCCAAACCTCACCGAGTCCATGTCTCGACGCTCGCCTCAAGGATATATAACCCATTCGTTTTGGGCCACTGACATCCATAACTCAACAACACATCAACAACACTTCCTCACCCGCAACCATCAAGCACATACTCCCACCGGCCTCTACCAGACCGTCATAGCCAGCCTTTAACCCGCATCTGTCCACTACCCACTACCGCTTAGCCCACCATGAGCAGCAGAGAGAGTTCCACCAGCAGCTCTTCTTCTGACGATGAAGTGCGTAAGCACGTCATTACTGACCTAGAGGAGAAGAAGACGAAGGCCGGGCCGACTACCTCGCAAGGCAAAGGCTACGATGACCTAGTCAAGTACTACAAGGCCAATAAACCGCTCCCTCATGGAAATAAGATTCTCTGGTCATTTGGCGACGGTGATGTCAAGGTGGGAACTGTCGACCAACACGACGACGCTGTTGCCAAGCACAACACTGGGAAGGCCGTGGCTAAGTGGGACTGGGGCGTTACTCATGTAAGGCCCCCTCGCCTGTGCATATTCTATTTGATTTCCGCCTTCTAACACGCGAGCTATCGTCACGCCACAGAGCACTGCCAATCAGGCGCCTCAGTCGGAGGTCGTCCCCGGTGGTGCGGGTAGCAGCGCCACACAACCTGCACCCCACGTTGTCGCTGATGCAGACCTTGCCAAGGTTGTACCGGCGGTTGGTGAGGCGGGTCAGATGGCCAACTTCACGTCCCTGCCAGTCGCGGGGAACAACTATCACTACGTAAGTGGGCCAGTTACCTTAAGAGTCTTGAACAACATGATAACCGGGTCGTCTATCATCAGATCAACGCCCAGTTTAGAATCAACCCATTGTTTTTGGGCGGAGCAGCGCCTGTCGTCATCCAAGCCAACAGTAAGTTTCACACCCCGCTGGCACGTGTACCCAAGGTTCTTTCTCATGCCGGGCCACTAACGCATCTCGCCCTCTCACCCACAAAGTCATGAACGACACCGGATCCACCATCCAGACGCTCTACCAGCACGACTGGAACGCCATGAACCTCGGCCACAATCTCCCCACCCAGGTCTCCCACATCACGACGGCCAACGGACAGGTGACGCAGACGCAGTCGGTCAATGCCCAGATCCGCATCGTCGCGGCCACCGGCAACGCGGCCAACCCGTGGAAGATCCTCATGGACTGGAGGGGCGAGAACTTTGTCATCCGGCCGTGGACCCCCACCACCGACCTCCTGTCCGGCCTGACGATGCGCATGCACCTCTACTTCGCCACCCCGCCCGGCAACCAGAACCTCTACATCTCGCAGAAGAGGAACGGCGTTGCCAGCCAGCTCCCGGTTGTCTAAGCTGGCAAGCACACACACACACACCCACGCATCGGTTGCAGCGCCGGCAGGACTTCCGGAGCCTCGTCAGGAACGAGGGCACTCTGGCAGTTGTGGTCCCCCCTCTGCGGGAACGGGAACGGGTACGGGCCTGTGGTGTGGCCGAGGGCGTGGGATCTCGAGTCTATTCTGGCAGGGCTAAAGTCGAAAAGGTCTCTTGTAGTAGATAGTAGATAGTAGTTGGATGGATGGGTGCCGTGTTTGAGCTGGACTCCCGGCTCCGGTAGACTGGGAAACCTACATGTACTCGACCTCTGTGAGGAGAAAATAAAAGGCTGGACGTACAATCAACGTGTTCTATTATGCTTCTGGTTTTGGCAGCCTACTTTGATTAATAGGAAAATACGAACGAAGGCGCGCGTAAGACGGGTCTTAGATCCTTTAGATGGCGTCTTGATGCCTATATTGAACTGCGTGCCTGACAAGCCTATTAGAGGGCACCTGTGCAGGGTGCCACAGTGGGCTCGGTACTGTAGCTGGTGGAGCGGAAGCGGTAGCGAAGGCGGGAGCCAAGTGCAGGGTAGATCGGTAAGTGTAGGGTAGGTCGACTGGTTCTGCAGAGTAGACTGTAGGGAACTGTGCCCTACGGTCTAGTACAACAGTGCTGTGTGCACTGGGGCATCCTGGCGCTCTCTCCCAAAGACTTCGCCGATAGCAGTGGAATTGAGCCTCTTCGCCTCGATGTGCGCGTTACATTGATACATATATATTCACACAAAGATACAGGCCATGTCTGTTCATTTCCGAGGTCTCGAACCGGAACCGGAAACAGCAACATGTCTTTCACAGGGAATCTGGTCAAGACTTGACCACATTAGTCTTGGCCAGATTTCAAGTCATGTACCGTCGTCCCTCGTCCCCGCCACATCCACCGTCCCTCGACACTCCAGCATCAAGCACAACCAACACAAAGGAAGCATTACTCTTTGTCCCAACCTTGTTCCCCAAAGCAGCCCTAACCCACACACTCCACAAAAAAGGAGGAAACGCAGTAGAATGGGCCCTATCCCCCGTCCTACACCTGTGGAGCTTTCCGGTTCCACCCAACACCCAAAAAGGTTCCAAAAAACAAAACATTTACCGAGCAAAGTCTGCTCGGCGTGGAATGGGACCAGTGAGGATCACCTCAGGATGGCTCTGGCGTTTAACCAGATCATATGCGGAGATATGAGACCTGCGCGCTAACCAGCTGCGCCATGGTCCCTTGTTGTTTGGTGAGTGTTGGTCGAGTAAAATTTCACCACTTGTTCCACGTTCACGGGAGCACACTTTCCACACTGCACTGTAATTAATCTTCACGTTCTATGCAATGTTAGTTGAGATAAATTATTGAATGAATTGTTGCCTTTTTTTCGTTTGTCAATCTGGGCATTGCCGACGTGCCGTGCACCCGGCTCCGTCTATTATATAATATTATATTATTTTCGTTGTTGTTCTTGTGAGAATTCCTCGCTCTCACGCAATGCACCGTGGCTGACATAGTGCTACCCCTCCAATTCAATCTATCCGGACGACCCCCGCAAGTACAATTTATTATAATTTCTCTTCATGGCGTGATGGGCCTTGATTATGACTTCCACACCTTTTTCACCAGAGACACCAACCAGCCGATGGCACGCGTCAGGAATCTCGGCCGTGGGAGACGCGACCAGAACCGGGTCTTGGGGGGCTCGACTGGCTCGGTGCCTGCTTCGAGATCTCGCTCTTCGCCATTGATTTGGTTCTGGACGGTGAGGTCTCGAGGGCTATTGGGATTGCTGTCATCCTCCAGTTGCGGTTCTTCAGGGGCTGGGCTAGCTTGCTCGTCGCCGTCGGTTTGGTCCTGGGGAGTGGCGTCTCGGAGGGCATTCGAGTCGCAATCGGCCTCCGCCCTCTCCTCTTCCTCGGGGACGGGGGTATTGGCATTGCTGTCGTCCATTTCTTTCTTCCCTTCCTCGGGGATCGTTGTTGCCTGCTCGTCATCTTGATCCTCTTTTGGTCTCGGGCTGGCAGAGCGAGTGATTTCGTCACCGTTGCTGGAGTCGCTATTGTCCTCTTCCTCAGGGATCGTCTTTAGCTCCTCGTCATCTCGGCTTCTCTGTACATTTGAGGGCGAGTTTGGGGTGGTGCTGATAGAAAGTGCCAATGTGTCGACAAAACTCGAATCGTTCTCGTCGCGGCTGTTTTCGCTGCTGCTGCTGCTGCTGCTGCTGCTAATGCTCTTGATGTTGCTAACGCTTCTGCTGCCCCAATGGGCTTTCCGGCGGCTATCTAGCAATCCAAGACGAGTCCGGTGGTCCTCGAACCACTCGTGGTTGAGGAGGTCGCCTGTCGACGCCCGCTCCAGTGGATCCCATTTGAAGATTGTCATGAGAAAGTCTGCGAGCTTGTTGGCGGCTGAAAGGCTCATCCGCGCCGAGACGAGCTCTCGAGGGTCGTGCTGCGTCTCGCACATCTCGCGATACGAGGGGTAGAATGGCGGTATCCGGCCGCTCACTTTGTAGTCCTCGACTCCTCCAGTGGCGTCCGTGGTTTGTTTGAGTCTGCGAAGGGGTACCTCGCCGACCATGCCCGCCACGAGTAAGCGGTCGGTATGTTTTGCGTCCATCATGTCCTTCTTCGTGCGCTCTATGTTTTGTGTGGTAATTGAGACGGGCAAGTCGTCGGGTATCTCGACTTCATTTTTGGAAAGCGGGCCGAGCGATTCCTGGTATGCCTCTCTATAGCGCCTAGGAAGGGGACCGATTTCCGTTTCCATATTCCTCACCGCCTCAGATACCTCCCCATCTTCAGTGAAGGGTAGATATTCCGTGTGGATTTCGTAGATGGTGCAGGCGAGAGTCCAGATGTCGGCCTCGAATCCGTGCTCGACCTGTAGGAACATGTCCTCCGGCGCGGCGTAGTGAAACGGAATGCCAGTGTGGTTGGTGGGGCAGTTCTCAGCGCGATAGGCCATGCCGAAGTCGACCACCGCCACCTTGGGGAGGCAGAAACCGGAACTGATGTCCACCTCAACCTTGCTGACGAGATAGTCGGGGACTCCCGGGTCTCGGTCGGCCTCGTCGCAATCAGCGATCACAACACTTGTCGTTTCGCGGTCGCCCATGCCCAGTTTCTCGCGGAGGTCCGCCTCGGTCATGTCGTCAATCTCGTCGCTGAGGCGGAGAAGAATATTCTCGGCGCGGAAGTCGCCGTGGCAGATGTCTGCGCTGTGGATAAAGTCCATGGCCTCGACCAGCTGGAAGCTGATGTCTTTCAGAAGGGCCTCGTTGTCTCGGTACGTGTCCATCAGCACTCGCAGCGACGGGCCGAGCAGGGGCAGGACGTGGCAGAGGTGGTCGCCGTTGGGGCCCTTGATCCAGAAGTGGTCCAAGGGAAGGAAAACATGGTTTTCCTCGCGCTGTTCGCGTCCAATGCCCATTGAGGTAAAGTGGTCAATCGCAATGATGTCGCGACAGTTATGTGACATGTGTGCCGACAGTATCTTGACAGCGCGCCACTTGTTTTCGGCCTGGTCACGGCACAGCCAAACAGTGCCACACCCGCCGTCGCCGAGCTTGTCCACCACACGGAATCTCCCACATTCGCCAAGGAGATCACCTATCACGACTGGGTGGAATCCTCCCTCGCGGTAGTCGTTTGCATCCTCGACTGCGGCGCGGGGCTGGTCACCGAGGTCGTAGTAATGCAAGTTTTGCCGCAAGACGCGCTCCGAAGACTGCGCCGGCTGACTCGAGCGGGGGCTGTCCATTTTTGGGAGGGCTAGATCTGTGTGACAAAGGCAGCCAATTCGGGTACTCGGGGGTGCCGTGAGTAACAGTTGTTGTTGTTGTTGTTGTTGTTGTTGTTGTTGTAAGAAAGTGGAGAATGAAATAATAATTCCCAGTGGAAATCTCGTCCAAGTTTGCGATGGATTCTTTTGATGAGTAAAGTGGAAGGTTAATCAGCCAAGCAAAACGTAGGGCAAACACTTTTAATACTAGTGCGAAGTAAGAAACAACGCCATTGTTCATGTTTGGGTTGCGTGCAAACAGTATTCTTGTGTGTTTGCCTGGTAACTAAGGTAGATTGTTCAACTGGTGCGGGGCTCCCAGTCCCTGATTGAGGCACACATCTGTATAACACCCATGATGCGCTCTCTGTGGCAAAAGAGGAAGTGGAAGAGATGCTGAACCTGACTTGATAATAGTTTTGCTTTTCGATATATCAGTGACTGTGATCAACAAACTGTAATAACGTGATTACGAGATTTACCATTGTCACTTGACTATCAGTAATTCAAATGTCTCCTTCCCTCTTACCCCTAGGCTCGCGCTCATCAAATACCAACGCTGTTCAGAACAGAACCATTATCAATCTATCTTGTTACTGAACAGCAAGGGAGTTCGCTCTCCAAACAGTCAGAGATGAACATAGATAAAAATGACTTTGGGCATTCGAGTAACACTCGGTCGGACTGCCAAACGTCTCCATTTGAGCACAAGCCGAAGGACTTGGATCATCAAGTGTGAACCTTGCAGCACAGAGTAACACGCCTACACACTTCCAACCAGTGCATCGAGACATATCCGGGTCTCTCCTGACAAATCTCAAGCCATTCCGAAAGTAAAATATGGCAGACGACAACACCCCACTCACAGGCCCGAAGGCGAAGACCTGGCGCGCCAAGCCGCCAGCTCAGAACCCCCAAGGGCCGCCGAGAACGATGCCCAACATCAAGTTCATGCCAGGAGTCACCAAGATAAAAGGCCCCGGAGCTCCCCCGCTCGACAGCGCGACCCGCAAGACATGCAAAATCATCCAGTCGACCGGCAAGGGAAACCTCGACGACCCTTACATCACCTGGTCGTCAAAGACGCCCCTCAACAACGATGTCACCAAGTCCTGTGAGGAAGCTGTTAGGCTCGTCGCCAAAAAGTGCGGCATGACCTACGCTGTGATCAGGAAGGGACCTCACGACAAGATGTGCCAACACGATCAAGATGGCAGACGCAAGACGGTCACTTTCAATAGTGGCGCCGTCAAGCCCACGCTTAAGCAATCTGACTGGCATGTCACGATTGCTATGGGGAAAACACTGAACGAATGCTATGTCCAAGGCCATATCTTCGTCGTCAACGAGGAGGGAGGTGTGAAATGGTCGTTGATGGATGACCCAGCTACGCAGCGACTCTACAAAGAAGATGGCGTCGAGGCCGAGGCTATCGAGCTTTGGCTTATGCCCCGAACGTTTCTTGCCACCGAGAAGGAGACTGCCGCAAAGTAAATGACGCCCCCTCTAGTCTAGTCTAGAAGCATACGTGGATTAATCAAGTGTGTATACAGGAGTTGCTACCCAAATGCTTTATAAAGAAATTGAACGCCCACAAAAGGACGCAAAAAAGTAGAAGTCATACACCCATTGGATCAGTGAAAAAAGCATGCGTAAATTACCCAAATATGTACTGGAGTTACCTATAGGCTGGGTGAAAGATCTTGAACGCCTAGATAAGGGCATGAGATTAGACCTCATGCAATCATTGGACCAGTCCAAAAGGTGTAGGTAAGTTACCTGAATATAGACTGGAGTTACCCCAAGGCTTAATTAGTAAAACAGCTTGACCGCCTGGGGAGGGGTGTCAAAAGCATATATTGAGTTTCTAAATATATACTCAAGCAACCCCAGCCCTTACTGAAACTACCTGAACGCCTTAATGAGGATACGAAAAGTAGACGTGCATTAATTACCTCAAGGCCTTTTGTGTCTTAAGTCCGTCTAGAAGTTACGTAAAGACATTCCCTCTTCTTTTCTCCTTGTCTTTGATGATCCTGCTTGGTATCTAAAGTCCTCGTTTCCATTTTCTCAATATTAACTTCCCTTGTCCTTTAATTCCCATTTAACATCGATGCGAGCTTGGCTTGCTTGAGGACGGCAGTGTATGATGTTGAGAGGCTATGTGGTTCAGGGGAAATTTTACCGTCTTTCAATTTCCTTTTCTTTCTCTGTATTATTCGTAACTCGCTAGCGTAAAAAGTAAAGAGCGAATTCTACGCATCTAAAGAAGTGCATCTAATTGAGTGTATAAAGAATTTGGCATAGTTCTAGTGACTTGTATAAAAGCTCTTCGAAACTGGAATTAGCAAGTGTCTTCGTGGGCGATGCAACCCTGTAGACTTAATTAGTTCTGGACTAAAGAAGCTATTACTAGCAAGTGCCACGTGATGCCATCATGCATGCCATGCCAT